GACCGGGAGTGTTTTCCACCACAACCCCATCCCTCCCGTTTTGCAACCATCCCTGGACCAGTGACAGGTGCATGAGCAGCCCAGTTCTTGGAACTAAGCAAGGAGAAGCCAGTGGACTTTGTCCCCGCGGATCCAGTTCAGCTCCCAGCTCATTTGCGCCGCGGGTCTGTGCGGGGCTGGTTGCGGGGCTCCTATGGGGCGGGGGGCGCTGGGGACGGGGCAGTGATGCCCTGGGCAGGCCCCAGTGCCCAGCCCGGGATGTGTCCGCCCTGCAAAGCCAGGTGGGGTCTGATCTCTGCACCCCACTGCGGAGCCCGCGGGGTTTGCCCTGGGCTCAGACCCTCGGTGCCGGCTTCGTTTGGTGCCTTTGCTGGGGCCGCCTGGTGCCCGGAGCTGCCGGATTCACTCTCTGGCTCCTGCTCTGTTGGTCTGGCGCTGTCTGTCCCGGCAGGTGAGTCCCTCCTGCAACCCCCCGGGCAGCAGCTGCTGCTTCTCTCCCTGCCGGAGCAGAGACAGACACTGGGGAGCGGGTGTCAGGTGCATTGGCTGGACTCCAGTTACCGATTATTAACCTGCTGCCCCAGCCTGGGGGTGTGTTCGCTGCGTTAGTCTATGATGTGGTTCAAAACTGAAATTCACCAGGGTCTGTAGAGCCTGGATCCTGTGAGCAGCCGGGGACAAATGCCCCTGGGGCAGGTGGGGGCTGTGAGGGGGGTGGGCTGCTCCTTTCATTGTGCCAGGGGAAGCGACGCAGGAGGGGTCGGGGGCAGCTCTAGGCAGAAGCTCTGCAGTGGCAGAGACCAAAATCTAAGCAGAGAATGCTGCATTCCTTATTCTACTAGTTTCTTGCTGACTGGTGTAAAAAAGTGACTCTCAAGGTGTGTCTACACTGCACAGTGAGCCCAGCTCGGACCGAGGTTAGAGCCCAAGCCCCCTTCTGTCCACACACAGATCAGTCTGACTCCGATCAGCAAGAACTCAGGACCCAGGTCCTAGGACTCTGCTGGGATGTGGGTCTGAGCCTGCGTCCTGGTGTGACTCCGGTCCAAGCCCTGTTGTTTTGCAGTGTGGACACACACAGCTCAAGCTGCAGCCCCGTGAGAAGGTCTGTGCAGTGCGATATGGACCATTAGCACGGCCGGGAGACCCAGGGCAGCAATTGTAAGCCCAGGTTTGCAGTGCAGTGTGGATGCTCACGCGTGTGAGCTCGGACGCAAGTGTCCACAAACCCGGGTCCCACAGAACTGGGTTTACAATGCAGTGTAGACGGACCCTGAGTGATTCGTTGGTACCATCCCAGGCCAGGTGTAGTTGCCAGTGGGTTGGTGATGAGGCCAGTGGATACCAGTGAGAGGAGAATTCTAATCCGGTGGCATTTTATACCCCACTAGGCAGGTGGCCAAGATGTTACAAGGGGCCGGGCAGGGGAGAATCCGAGTCTCTGTATGTGCACAGGAGACTCTTACCGGGGAAACTGCTGCATTTTCTGTCTCCCGGATTCCTGCCCTTGTAGCATTTTATGACACATATTGGGACTATCGGGCAATTCCCAGCTGGCTGAGGTAGCCGTTCCCCGCCCCCCCATTACCCCACAGCTCTGCTAATACCCGAGAGGAGCTGTGAGAGGAGGGGGCTGTTTGTTTAGCTGCCTTTTATTGATTCATTGATGCTGATTATTGTCTGATTGAAATGACATTTCATTTCCACTAGAGGGCAGATGTCATTTTACAACAGCTCTCCCATAAGCCCTATCTGAACCACTCCCCTGACTTGAAAAGGTGGCAAACTCCAATCTGGTGAAAGGGTATACATTTTCACACAAGGCACAGCTGGCCTGTGGAACTCGCTGCCACAAGATCTCCTTGGTCAATCTTCTTTTCTAAATCCTGCCAACCTCTTGGCATTTATAGGGATAATGGGATCATCCAGATTTATCAACATCAATATTACAAAGTAACCTAGAGTAGGAAGGGCTCTAAACCCTCCTGGGAAAGGTACAAGCCCAGCTTCTAACCAATGGGGGTAAGGGATGAATCTGTCCCTTGGGGCAGGTTATTCCATCACTGTCCAGTACAGGGGTGTCCTGCCCCTCCTGCTGAAGCAGTTGGTGCTGGCTGCTGTGGGAGTCGCTCCCTTCAGATCTGCTCAGCTGGCAGCTCTGCCCCGTCACAGAGATCAGCTGGGAATCTGTGTCTGCTGCTCTCCCAGTCCCTGCCCTGCCAGGGGTGCAGGGACTTCATGGGGCATCCCCCAAGGGCAGAAAGTGGGAAGGACCCACCCACTCGAGATATTCCAGGTTCTGAAATGGAACCATAACGACTGCTTGTAACTGTTTGCATAAGGGGAAGCAAATTCATTGCTGCCAATTCAGGAATGGCTGTAACTACTTTATAAACAGACATCACCAAACAGGGGTGGGAGTTTGTCCTCACTAACTCCTTGGAGCCATTGTCAATTCACACCAGCTGGGGATCTGACCCCACTGCAGTGGAGTGATGGCTAATTTCACCAGCTGGGGATCTGGGGTCAGTGATTTCAATGGAGTTGTCCCAATTCACACCAGCCCGGGATCTGGCCCCACTCTCTCTACATGGAACTGACCCCAGTCCAGCACCTGCCTCCATGTGTTTGTCAAGTGCTTTGGGATCCTTCAGATGCAAATCCCTGTAGAGAAACCAGGGCAGTCCTAGTACTGTCAGCTCGAACCGACCCTGCTGTGCCGGGCTGTGGCTGGGCAGATAAACACCGACACAAGCCAGCCAGAGTAACCCGACAATTCTCTCCACAGGCAAACCTCGAACCCAGACCCCACGGGACGGGACGCCAGTGAAAAGAAACAGAACAAGGACGATTCAGTGACCTGGAGTTGATTTGGTCAGCGCCTGCTAAGGCCTGGTTGACCCTGGGGATAAAAGCCGTGTCAAGGGAAGCTTTGAAACAGTTCATTCGAACACAACCCAGACCCAGCCTGGCTGGTCGGGGTATTCGGACAAAACTCACCATCAAATTATATTTGAAAGGAGTTTTTCCTGATCACCCCACGTAGCCAAACCGCGCCTGAGCTGTAATCCAGTGAGCTGCTTTGAAACTGTCCTTACGAAGGGCTCTGCCGGCACCGCCAGACCCACTGTGAACAGGCCTCAGTTACCGGTGGCTGCAGAACGGTGGTTCAGGTGAACAAGTCGCCCGTTTTGGAGTCCATGAGTCTTTCAGAGAGAGAAGAGATGTGGAACGAGTCATCTCCTGCTGAGAAGATGAAGCCAGATCCACACCTGGGTTCCCAGGAAACCCCATTGAAACACAACGGAACAACTCATGTGCCCATCCCCCCACAGGGTGGAGAGAGCTGCACAATCTGCCCTACAGGTACAGCTGCCTCTCTGGGGTCTTCTTACAGGTCTCCTTTCCACCCCGCATTGACTCAGTGAGGGCCTTTATCTCCCTCTAGTGGCTGGTCCGTGTAAAAGACACAAGTCCACTACGGGCCTTCAATAGACTACGGCCTTTAGCCCAGGCAGGAGCTGTCTGTGTCTTTCGATCCAGAGGTCCCTGCTCAGTCCCTGCATATTCACCCCACTTCCTCCGTCAGTGCTAGACAGGCTGGTCAACTTCCATCAACGCCTTCTGGGCGGAAAATGCTTTTTTGAACAAGAATTTTTTTCCACAATTTTTTTGTTCAGAAGTTTTCAGGGTTTCAAATGGAAACAATGCCAGTCTTCATTCCAGATGGACAAGGGTTTTTATTTATTTTTTGTGGGGGAGGGGGTGATTTTTGTGTTTGAAAATAAGAGAAGAATCAATTTTTGATTTAAAATGTCGGGGTCTCCTCTCCCCATTCTCTCCCTTTTTAAATAAATACTTTCACTGGAAACATTTTCAAGAGGCTGGGGAAAGCTCTGAAACCCTCACATTGAAACCCCTGTTTTTTCTGATTTT